GATGCTTATACTGTACACATGTGACTTCTCCCTCTCTCACCCCCACACACACACACACACAGTCGCATAAATATAAACACACACCCTGAAATTAAAGCCAGAGATCTTTCCCCAAAGCCGGCTGCAAGGGAGGAAGCGGAGCCGTTCCACCGCTGTCAGAGAATACAAAGGTGGAAGAATGGTTGAGGCGAGGAGGGGTGTCCAACTTCCTGCTGAGAGAGAGGAAATAAACACTTCCATATGCAATCGCAGCCAGAAACACTTGCACATATCCACACACCCAGAGCATGGAGTTAATGCAGTGACACAGTGTTGTAAATTTGAGCGGGAGGGCCCTAGTTAGCAGCACGCACCGCCCCAATGAAAGGGAGAATATTTTCTGCTTCCAGAAATTTATAGCTAGTGAGGCGTCATTCATCACATCAGCTCTGTAATGTAATGCAGCTCGGAAAGAAATACACCAGCCGGAGCTCGGGGATTCCTGATTGGTCGGGGGGAGAGGGATGGCTGTTTTTTACGTGGAAAGGATTCAAATATCTTGTGTGTGTGAGCGTAGTCACGTGCAGCAAATCCTGTTGACTAAAGCAACCCACACACACACACACAGCATAACCTCCGCCTGGGGAAACCCGTGAACTCTGGGCCACTGGGCCATTTTTCATGTCCGGAAAGCATACGCATTCAGACGTAATCCGCCAAAAGATCGACACTTTCTGACATAATATCTACAGTATCAATACCCACCTTTAACCTGCTAATCTCACATTTGTACCTCAGTAGTACGCGTCAAGATATGCAAGATCACACACACGCACACACAGCGTCATATATTATTAACACAACCGGCATGTGCACTAACGCCAGAGTGAGCATCGCACTAATCTGGTCTCGATCTGAAACCTCTCTGTTTTGTCTTTGCACAAGCACGTATTTGTGCGTCCCTCTGTGTGTATTAGCCATAGTTTGCTCGCATATGTGGAGCAGTAGGTCATGGTCTTATGAAGATTATCCATAAAGAAGCTCCGGGGGTGGGTTTATCAGATTGACAAGTCTTACCATAATGTGAATTTCTGTTTGCAAACACAGCAAACCGTTAGTGTCATTACAGCACGGCTCAGCGTGAGCGTTAAAATGCATTAGGACGAGGTCAATAGCTGCTTGTTTAAAAGGGTGAGGAGTTTGCATGTAATTACATAATCCAGTTATTTTCCCACAGCTTCTGCCCCGATCAGTGCACACTAAAGCGAGCTTCTAATGGTTTGGGCGCACAGAGCGAAGGGTGTGTCTTGTGCAGACTAAATGTGCATGTGTGTGTGTTGTTCTTTCTCACTGATACCCGGAGCAAACATTACAATCTCTGCAGCAGAACCGCACAGAGCCTTTTATCAGCTCAGCATCGGTGTGCGCATGTGTGCTAAGAGGTCAGCAAGAGTGCCGAAAGTCCCGACGCAGCGTCGTTCGACACGTCGCTCCGTGCAGCTGACAGTCAACAGCCTTGTGAGCATCAGCGAGGCGAGACAATGGAGCGGCACCTCTCCTCGCATCTCGCTCGATTAAAAAGTGAGAAAATGGCACAAGCTCTGGGTAAAATTAGGTCACTTTGATTTTACAGATGGCCCTTGTTGCCAAGCATATTTTCCCAATTAAGGCTGATTAGGGAGGGAAATTCCCAGACAGCGTGAATTATTAAAAACTTGAAATGGAATCTGATCATGTGATGTTGTACAGCAGTGACACCCGACATTCCCAGATGGGTACTGGAAAAAAAAAAAAAGGAAAGAAAAAAAAAAGGAGGGGGAGTGCTGGGAGACTTCTGATTGGCCCAAAGTGGGAACTGAGTTTCCTTCTATTGTTTTAAAGTCACTACAAAGTACAGAGAGAAAAAAGAGGGGGAGCATCATCAGCTCTGGAATCACACTGCTGACTGATGAGACACTTCCCTCACTACATGCTCTACAATAACAAAGATTCAAGATCCAAAAAAAGATTTTCACAAACAAACTCCTGAAAAAGACGTCCAACACTTGGCACTTTGATTTATTTAATTCTGTCTTTCCTCCAGCAGAATGAATTTTGCCAGAACTGTAGTTAATGAATGGGAGAAGATGTGTTGCCCACACCTCCTGAACACTAGTAAAGAATGAACAAAAATACAGATATTTCTAAAAATGCACTGCAATTAATAGCAACATTTGTTCTGTTGTTTTGGTTTTATTTATAAGATGTCCTCTCTGGACTGTGTGAGCATGCACAGACTGAAAATGAGCAGCAAATGAGCAGCACAGTAGCTTCAGTAACACAGTTCAGATGGATGCAATTCCTAAAAAAATCCTGTGTGACATGTTTGAAACGGGCACAAAGTTTTGCAAATGAGCCACTAAAGTCAAAGAGTTCATAAATGAGTTTAAATGAAATTATGTATCTGCCACATTCACATTTAAAAACAATATTTCCCCCAAACAAAAGAAACCCTAAAAAATAATATTATATTATATGCTGACTCAGCAGGAATAATATTAAATGACAAAACGGTGAGAATACATGTCTGACAGAAATACAGAATGCGTCGCTGCCTTGCTGTGTTGTATCTCATTGTGTTTTGTGTTTCACCTGCTGCCTCCTTTTCTTTTTTTGTTTCCTTCCTTTGAATGAATGGAGACCTTTCTGACATTAATCGACACAGAAAAAGCACAAACTGGTGCAGAAAAGTTCTCAGTCATGCAGGAATTTAAGTGTCTGATGCTCAAAACTTCAGGCCCCAGCCCTGCTTACTGTGACCCCCTAATGTTCACAATTATGCCAATGCACACTTGTATATAAGAGGGAGAAAAGACACAGGTCTAAGTTATCAAATTAACTTCAGGCTCACTGTTCTGCGTGCTCATTCACTGCCATGGCTGACTGGGACACCTGAACAAAACAGAGCCACCGTTAATGTTACTACCAACACTTGCTGCTGTGGAAACAGGCCTATTGAGTTCAGTGACATCCCATAATGAGCAGCTGAGCTCCGCCTACCTTCAATCTGAGCTGAGCTCTGATTAGCCAACAAGTGAAAACACCTGCATGCAGAACCTGAAATCTGTAACTTGACTTTGTTCTGATTTTAAACTGAAAGTACAACCGTTTATCTCAAATTGTGTCACAATAAAGATCCTGTATGGAAAAAGATCAGTAAGAATTTAACCTGTTTTTAAATTTAGAGACTAAAACTCTGAAGTCTTTCACTTCATGTCCACCACAGTTGACCTGAGTGGTTAACAAGGCATCATTTAGAGAGGAGGGACTGATCAATCATATTTGCTTGTGTGGTATTTGTTTAAAATTAAAGCACACAACCGTCCAGTAGGACTGTAAATAACTCAAAACAGAGTTGGCAGCGACCTCTGGCCTTGTCAGAACTAGACTTTGACATTAACCCTGCAACTTCCTCAGCACAAAGTGGATAAGTAGAAGTTGAAGTTATTAATCAGTTAATTGATTGATTGAACTGAATTGGTCGCAGTAATTTTTTTGGGTTAAAAAATATTCTAAATTCTCACATTCCAGCTTGTTAAATTTGAATATTTTCTATTTTCTGTCCCTTTGAGCTGACTATTTTTGGGTTGTGGACAAAACAAGACATCTGAGGACATCATCTTAAGCTTTGAGAAACACTGATTGACATTTTTTTACCATTTTCATTTGTTTTATAGACCAACAAACTAATTGATTAACTGAGAAAACAGTCAACAGATTGACTGACTATGTAAGTGACTGTTGGAGTTGAAGCCTTACTTTAAAACAAACAAAAATAGGATGTTGGGTAACTTTTTAGATCACAACTCCACTACAAAAGCTGCATGATTATCACAATACTGTCCTGAAATTAACAAGGAGGGCATTTGGGTGTTAAATCCTGCATGTAGCACCTTTTCACAGTGCTCGGGCCATTATTGCTGCTGGTGTTCGCAGGTTATAAATATGTGAAATTGTCCTTGAAGAGTTGTTGCTCTTTTTGTCTGGGTCTCTACGTGAAGTTGGAGCGGCCCAGCCTGGCTCCGAGCATCCCTTCAGCGCTCTGTGTTGCCACGCTGGGAGCCTGTCAGAGAGGCTCAGTGTCAAAACGGCCGGCCCTGCTGAGCGGAGCTGACCGTGGACTGGCCAGACCAGCCGCACTGGCCGGATGTTCGCCTTTTGTTAGACGCCTGATGTCCCCATTCCTGTTGGGTGCTGGTAAAAAAATGTCGCCCGTCCAGCCTGTTTGAGGAGTTACAGGTATTGCCCAACAAGCACAGCTAAAGAAGGCCACTTTAGCTGTTCTGTTTCTTAGATGGGCAAACTGATCTCCTCATGTGCTGTTTCATGTGATTCACCTGATATTCCTACAGGCCTCCTGCTTAGAGTCCAAGTTTAGCCTAATTAGAACAACCTAAATCCATTTCAAGTCATGGGATGAGTGACACCTCTGAGGATGATTATTTCAGGTGTTGGATCTCTTGTTTTTCCTCTGTAAAAATGGTGACAAAGAAAGCTCAGATATACTCATTATATGGTCAGCAACATTTGAAAGGGACACAGAACAAAAAAAAAAAGGAAAGCTGAATAAACAAAGTGTGTGTTTTCATCTCCCTGAACCCGACAGGTGGCCTTTTATGTTCTCAAATACCTTCAAAACTGTGTCACTTTGACTGGGCCTTGCTGGACAGGTGTGAAATACCACAGCTTCCTTAAGTTTAGGCGCCACTTTAAAGTTTAGATTTCGCCCGGAGGGACTTATTTTAACAAACTTCAGGATCACTCTCAAAACTCTACACTGCTCAGGAAAATGTGTCTAATTAGGTAGGCTTTAAAGCTTATCAGTACATTTTGTGTGAGCCGAATTAAAGATTGTGCTTGTCTTCTACGAGAAAAGTGGTTTGGCTTTCTATTTTCACCGCTGTTCTTTTTCAATACAAAGACCAACATTAAATCACAAAACAATCAAACGGAGTTCTGCGTGCGCCTCCTCCAGCTCTTACCTTGCCTGACAGTTTTCAACCTGACGGGACCTTTGCAGTTCTTTATGACGGTCTGCACGTCGTACAGAGGTAATCCCGAAATCGAGAGGTTCTCCACCTCCAGCAGCAGTTCCCCTTCGTTTAATGTTCCACTTTTGTAAAGCACCACGTCCTCGTTCACTTGGCCGATGTAGGCGAACTCTCCGTTCTCCGCGCCGCCGCGCAGCGCCACATTCAAGTCACCGCGGGCATCTTTGGAGACGGAGACCTCGTTCACTCTGGAGGTCCAATGGTTCTTCTTTAGCGCTGGTTTGGACATTGTGAACAGTTTTAATTAGCCAAACCGGGCTATGAGGAGGAAGAGGAGGAAGGGGGGTATAAAAAAAAACAAACGGTGACGAGCAGCGATGCCTCCAACGACTTATATCCGAGAAAAAGCGCAGCAAACTTTCTTTCTCTTCCACAGAAACATGAGTGCCTCTGACAAGTATTGTCCCACCAGCTTCCTCCGGTGGTGAGGAAATCAAGCCATCCCTGTGTTGTCCGGAGTCCCTCCTTTTACTGTGTGTGTACTGTTCTCATCATTTTTCTTAACATCCCCGCAGTTTAATCCTCCTTTATCGATGTCATCTTACATCTGCCACGGTCCCACTCACGACTCGCGTCCACTAATTAAATCCTCTCTGCTTCTTGTTGAAAACTCACTTTCTGCTTGTTCTTTTTTTTCCCCTCTCCGGTTACCAGAGAGTGAACTCTTCCTCTTCCCTCCCACAGGGTTCACTTTATCGGCTCCTTGAACCAGGTACGTGTCCGTGCGGCGTGTTTAGCGGACTCTCATCGCTCTCTGCGCTCTGCGTGCTGCTGGGAATGTGTTGCTGTTCGTGCCGCCTTCAAGTGCTGTCGGAAATTTCACTCTTCCAATGGGAGGTCACATGAATTACTACTTAGCTATGTGGGTGTAGCGTACTTTATGCACGAGGTGAAATATGTGAGCTATGCTGCCTATTTCATCGACCACAGATAGTAAATATTTATGTATATGAGTCTTTTTAATATTTCATTTAATGGTATATTTTATTTATTTTTTTAAAATAACTTTTACTGCTTTGTTTTCTAGTCATTCTAGTTAGAGCTGAGGAATCTGTTGTAGCCTCTCCACACTGGCTCACAGTAAGTTTTAGGAGAGATTTTGCTGATTATTTTTACATTTCTATTAATATTTCTGACATTTTTTGTACCATGTGCACCAGATCTTTTGTCTTTTCCAGTGTCTCAGCTGAAAACTTAAGAGGACACAGGTAGGGATGTCCGATAATATCAGCCCACCAATGTTATTGGCCTGATATTGGCATGAAAATTTAATATCTGTCAACATCGTTATCTTTTTTTATTTTATTTTTTTGCCTATAATAAAAACTGATCAAATAATGCCTGGCCAACATCAGACATCCCTCGACACCGGATTTGTAGGATCTGAAAAATCAGGTCGACTGATCTCTTTGAAGTCCCATCTTACAACTTGTTTTTATAATTAAACAAATTATTAAAATGTGAAAAATGAATACATGTAGATCACTTTTTTTCTCAGGTTCCATTTGAGTTTGCATTCCATTTGAACATTCCTATAACTCTCTATCTGGTGTGTCTGTTTTTAAATACACTCAAGATCGATATGTTGTGGTTTTATCTGTCTGTCTGAATTCTGATGAGTTTAGGACTTGTCTGTTGTTTCTTGCTGCCTTGTGAAGCACTTTCTTGAATTGTGTTTTACTATTATTTCTGTTCATTATTAGTTCAGTGTTATACATTGTAATTTTACATTTCAACATGAATAAGTTTGGGCCCAAGTTTGTAAATTGTGCCCATTTTTACATTGTAATTCCAAAATAAAGTATCACCAATGACCAATGCATGACCTTAGTTCTTCCTCTATTTTTGAGCGCTATTGCTGTGATATTGACAACTGACACAATGAGTTGAAACATTCACAATTTTAAGTTTGAAGATCAAATATCGGAGCCTATGAAGAGCACATGAAGGCAGCACTGTTCCAAAGAGCGCATGCGTGCTGCTCAGAGCTATCTTGGATGTCCCTTTTACGTAAAAGAGCTTTTGGCTTTTGGCTTCCCTAAATTAGATGCTGGTGTCAGTTTGTTTACTTCAGCCGGTTAAACTACATGTTGTTAAAATTCCCTCACTGTGTAGAAGATGTGCTGTAAAGTCTGAGTCACGTATTTTAGTGGCATTTAAGTATTTGCATGTTTGCTTCTTTGTGGATTTTTTATTTATTTTTTTGTCAAGGACTTGAACTGACACTCAAAAAAGAGTAGTTTTTTATTTATTTTATTTTTTTATTATTCAACAGTCCTGATATAATGATTGTGACTGAAATGCTAATTTGATCACGACCTCGTCAGTCAGTGGTTAACCCTGTGATCCTGCCTGTCAGGATTCCTGCATTTCAGGTTAGACAGGTGGCACACCATGTTTTCATGCTCGCCTGAAACCTCCCCTCTCTGCTTACACGCTGCTCTGTGTGTAATTGGCCCTGACACAGAAATGTCTGCAGAATTTGTTGTTTCCCTTACAACAAACTCTGATTTGCGTGAGTCAGCGGTGCTGCAGAAGGTCTTTTTTTGTTTGTTTGTTTTTCTTGTTTTCCACTATCACGACTTCTAACTTACACAGAAAAACAGTTGCAGGCGATGTTATCATGTCTCATGAAAAGTGAGAATTATCTTTTCAGTTATCCAGAGGAGTCGATTGGTGAGTCAGAAAAAGAAAAAGAAAAGACAGGAGGCCATAATCCAAGAATCAATGTGAGAAAAAATTAATGAGATGAACAATAGCGAGACGGCGAGCTGAGACAGCAGGGATGAATAGACTGATAATAGGATCACATGGGCTGGGCTTCTCACCTGGGGAACACCACACCAGCTTTTCCCAACCTAAAAATAACAGAGGAAGTACTCTCGGTCCCGTGGGAGCAGAAACTACTGGCCTGGATGGGACGAGAAAATAGTGAAGTGCACTTTAAGCTGAAACTTTACAGTTTTCCCTTTTCTCTATCCATTATCAGCTGCTCATACATGAAATGCATGATTAATATTTGTTCAGTTCGATGCAGTTTCCTCGGAGGGAAAGCAAGTGATGAACAATAAACATTAATATAGAAAAGTACTTAAAACATAACTCAAGACGCAAGCGTCATGAATTATGAACGTCTCCATTCATCTACAGAGCACCATTAAACTAAACAGCCCTAACACTGCATTCCTAACTACCCCATAAAAAATACATTTAAGCTATTAAGTAGTACAAGACACAAAAAGCCCAATCCTTTCCCTGAGGGAATGTGAGACAGATCCTACAGCGGTGCTGGTAAAAAGCAACTAGTGAAGGGGAAAAAAGGATGATGATGGGCGACCTGCCTGATGCACGTCGTGACCTGAAAAGACAGCAAGAGTCAGAAATACTAGATTGTCAGAGCAAAGTTCTTTTCTACGTAGCCACAGGAATTACACAATTTGGCATAGTTACCAAATCATGTTACTACAATTATACGTTCATCACATGACGCGCCCTGGCCCAAAAAAGCATTTCTTTATTCGTAAAAAAAAAAAAAAAATCATTGGAAAAGGAGCAACTGTGAAACTGAGAATCGCAAATCCTGCAAAATGAGTCTTTAACAGAATGTAGTTCGGTCAGTGCAGTTTCATCTTGAAAAATCTCCTCCATGTGCGCGGAGAGAGGCCAAGAAGTCACCAGATTTCAAGTCTTGGACATGCCAGCCTGCTCGACCTTTGTCCTGGAGGCCCAAAAATACGGAAGCAGGAGGAAGCCTGCTAAAAATGGCAGGCGTTTTTCAGGACATGCACCTGTGAGGACCTTTTACCTTTCTGAATAAGATATCAATATCCAATTTCTCTCTAAAGCAGCTAACATGCTAGTAATATGGCTCTAAGGGAGAAAACATTGGTTGGATGAACTTTAGTGCAAATTAAAATATGCTGACAGCTGTTAAATGGATGAAATTTGGTGCAGAAAATAGTGTTTGATTGATTAATAATTTGGGCCTTGATACTTTTCTACCATCTCTGGGTTCAAACTTTGTATTTGAGGAAGACGTTGTTGCTGTACTTTGCATCTACCGCTGGCTTACGCTACATGCTGAACTGAAATAGTGATCATAGCTGTGATACTTAAGTATGTTAATATTGTCAGTGTTCGCATTTTAGCTCAAAGCACTTTCACGGCAATGTGCAGCCTCACCCAGTGTCTGCACTGATGTAGACTTTTTGGCTGCTTTCCAAATCACATACTTTTACTCTCCGTATGTATTACAGGTGCTTTTACAAAGTACACATTGTTTGAATACAATTAGGACATACTACTTTGTCATACAATTGCAGCTTGAACCTTCATCGTCGCAGTCTGTAGTGCAAAATGATCATCTGTCTGTATTTGTGACACACTGCTTCTGACATACTCCATACTGGGATGAGTCTTTTCTGGCCTGCTATATAGTATGGTAATGTAAGATAGTGGAACACACCTTTATTCTTTAGTGTTTACATTTCTGAAAACTGGATGTGGGTATCTTCTTTTTTTTTTGGCTCCATGATAAAGTAACTCCTCTCCTCATTTGGTTCACCAGGAACAGGCTAATTACCCATTTCCAGCTGTTGCCCAAGCAATACACAAGCTTAATGTAAGCTTTGTTCACCAAATCAGGGTCAACACGCATCCCATTGTTGTCAAAGGGCTGCTGGGGGAAGATGGCGATAAAGGGCAAATGAGGTTTTAGACTTGGAGACTGGGTTTGTGTATACCCATTAACATCCACCGTGACCTCCAGTGAAGGTGGGGGGTGGGGGGGTCAGCTAGTTCCTCCGCCAGCTTCCTGTCATACAGTGTCACCCAAATCAGATCGACAGAAGCAGACACACTGCCACGGGCCAAAAATTTCCTATTCCCTTTCCACCCATCCATCAGTCTGTGCATGTCAGCGTCTTCTTCGTAGCGTTTGCTGCCTCTCTGCATTTTGCCATCGTCTTCTTGTCTGTCTTTCACTCCGTTGCACTCATTAATAAAAGCAAATCGTAGCTGCTGAGCATGTACACAGACGTGGCTGCATGTTGGGATTTCTCTTGATGAAGCAAACCATAACTGATTTGTATATATGCAGTACACCTCAATCACAAGCTATATAACATATGGTGGATGTTTCCATTAGATTCCAAATCCTCAACAGTTGGTTTTTATAACATACCCACACATGTAACACCATATGGCAGCACAGGATCTACATATTAAACTCCACCCTACAGAACAGGTAATAAATGTCAGCGTTAATCTTGAGGCGTTTTACAGAAGAGTGGGAACCTTGTCACGGAGAGCTCTCATTAAAGCAGCTCTACCCACCTTCTGCCATTGTGCCGCTGTGTTATGACAGCATATGTAATGAAGACGACCTGGATGAGCGTGGATTGTTTATCATAAGCTATTATTAGCCACCATTTCCATTCACTCGGCACGATGCGCACGGCGCTGCTGCTGACAAGTAATGACAGATTGAACTTAATGGCCAACAGTGATAATGTAGTCTTCAAATCTGACAGCTGCGCTCGGATGACTGCCGCAGCAAACCTCCACCATTAGCGGCTTTCGTGATGTTGTCATGCTACACGGTGGCTGAAGCAACCGTCACTTCTGATTTTAAGTCGTGTAATGCGATATATTTGGTAGCGTAGTGCAAGGTATACGCAGGTAAGTGGCATATACCTACTTATTTTTCAGCTGTATGCCACAAGGAATATGTTTTTTATTTGCATT